ATTTGGGGTTTAGAGTACCTCTTCAGCAGCCAGGCAGCTAACAAGCCTAAGGAAGCATCTGTCAAAAAATAAAAACCAAAACAAGCGGCACAGGAAACCTGAAAGTATCCCAGACACCGGGCCTGTGGGAAGGAAATCAGGCAACTTTACCCACTAAATCACAGGACTGTAGGACTACAGAGATTGCTACCTCTTCAAAGGTAAAATTCTCACCCTGGACCAACTCCCTGTCTCTGACGACCTACTTCTTTCCACTATGACAGCGACAGTGTGAGTGAATACACAAAGTAATGGTATAGAAGTGGAAATTCTTTGCATTGGATAAAGAATGGCTAATTTTTACTGCAGCTTTTTACCTTTCCAGCCGTGTGCTTTATAGTGAATAATTCATTTACTCCTCATAACAAGATTTTTAGGGTATGCTATTATGTATCTCATTTTACAGATGAGGAAACTACCTGTTGTAAAGTATCCTGGCTTTTTTTTTTCTAGTACTGGGAATCGAACTCACAACCTTGCACTTGCCAGGTAGGCGCTGTGCCGCTGAGCTAAATCCCCAGCCCTAAGTATCCCGGCTTTTTTGACCACACAGACTCCTCCAAGTTCCATCAACCTTTCCAGCTGTTAGGGATGGAGAGCTTGAGGTCTTCTGCCTCATTGGTGAGTGCTTGGACACTTGGACACTTGGAGAGCACTTAGACAACTAAAACATTTTCCCCAAAGGGATTAGCTATCAGGTAGTACAGATCATGAATCTTTCTACCATGAGCAAATGATAAATCAGCAAGAAAAAGGGACAATAACTCAAATCTGGATCAGTTCAGAAGTCCAAACTTAAAAAAAAATAGTTCTCATTTTTAAATTATTTATTATTCATAAAAACTCATCTGAATATTTAAAAGTCCTTCACTAAGGATTAACTAAAAGAAATTACCATAAAGAGCAAGAATTAATATCGACATTTCACTCCCAGTTAAGAGCAAGAAATTTAGTGGGGCTGGGGATTTAGCTCAGTGGCACAGAGCCTGCCTGGCAAGCGTAAGGTCATGAGTTCAATTCCTGGTACTGGAAAAAAAAAAAGTAAGAAATTTAGAAGACAAATATCAAAAATAAAAACTCAAAAAGCAAGAACTAACAAACTCCTGAAAGAAAGTTTATGCTTTGTTTAAAATGTTATAATTTTATTCTGTTGTTTCTAAAATTCTAAATTTTTTTCTTGCTTTATATGTCTCTTATAGTGTAATTTGTTTTTTTTATTCATATTATTAACATTTCTGATCAAATTTCACCTTAGTGATATTATAACCAATGTATGTGATGATATCTTTTGTCCAATGTGAGCAATACTATGCTTTGCTAACAATTTTCACCTTGAGTAACCGTTTTCCTGACTTTAAGACTGCTTTTTAGATCTTATTTTAAAAGAATAAGTAGAAGTAAGCAAAAACGTTATTGCAAGTAGCCCTAGAAAAGGCATTATACGACTCTATGACACTACCCAGTCATTCTTTGTAAGTTTAAGAGACAGTATTATTTCCTGTGCACATTATTCCTTATTAAATGAGATTTCCTCCTGGAAGAATGCTCAGAATTTTCACTTGCAAAACAGTGCTCCTGCCTAAAATCTTCCCTCAGGCCACCTTTCTATGGACTTTGCCTCGCCAACTCCAAGCAAGGTGCTCTGGTCTTATACAAAGTCTACTGGACTCTGTCATGAATCCACTCTGCTTATCGAAGTTATAGTGTGACTTCGAGGACCTCACTTAACTTCTCTGGGCCTGACTTCTCTTCCCTGTAAAAAATTAGGTGCTTGTGTGAGGTGGTCCCCAGAATCTTTTTCAGCAGGAAGATATGGAAATCATAACTTAGAAACTTTCAGACCAGTGCCAGGTGATAAAAATGCAGATTGTCCTAAAATTTGCCTGGTATCAATAATAAAGCAATTACTATTCCTCTCCTTCCTTCCTTCCTTCCTTCCTTCCTTCCTTCCTTCCTTCCTTCCTTCCTTTTCTTTCTTCACTTCCTTCCTTTCTCCCCCCTCCCTCCTTTACTCCTTCCCCTTCTGACTGTATAACGGTGTCCTCCAATAGAACTTTATCTGATGATGGAGTGGTCAACGTCTTTCTATCTGATAAGGTAGCCACCAGCCACATGTAGCAACTGAGCACTTGAAATGTGGTTGATGTAACTGAAGAACTGAGTTTTTATTTTATTTTATTTTAAGTTGGAAGAACCACAAGTGGCTAACACCTACCATATTGGTAGCAGTTTACGGTTTCAAGAATAGAGTAGCAGAGACATGTTTTAGCTTTTGATGTATTCGGCCGTGTACTGTACAATACCTTTGGAGCGTTGATCTTTCCACGTATTTGGCTCCCTTGCTATGACTGAGACAAATCCAACACCACAGGCATCTACATTTCGTGATGGCATTTTTGTAAAAGATCCTGGCGCTGCTTCTGCATGCTGGTAAATAAAGGGGGCACAAGCGGAAAGGAAGTTTTGGTTTGGTTTGGTGTGTGTTCTTCCTAGGAGCTCTCATCTCCTACTTTGCGGCTTTCCCCCAGCGAAGAATCTCACGTATCTACAGAGGTCCTTAACTACTAAAGCTATTGGCTGCCTGTTAGCTTTTGCTGTTGTTTAAATAATTCTGTTGCTTCTGACAGATTAAACTCCAACTCTGGGCCCTATCATTGTGCTGGTCTGACAGGTCAAAAGCCCAAGGGTGTGGCTCAGGGCCGAGCAGGGACTGGACCTTTCGCTCTGGGCTGGCCTAGAGGAGGGCCTAGAGCCACTGCGCAGCCCAGGGCTTCGTGCATTGTGAGTGGCTTCCTTTCACGTGGCCTGTCGTGCCGATGGAGGTTGCCAGAAGCACATCGCCAGCTCTTTGAGATCAACCTTCGGGAAGTAGTTCTAGGATCCGCAAACCAGGCTAGCAGGGCAACACCCACACCACCGCCGGTTTCCAAAGCCCACCCACTGCCGCTGCACCATCTACCAAGCCCCACAGCCCGACTTTCCTCCCCGAGGTTACATCCCCGCCCTGGAATCAGACATCGGCTGGCAGTCCCTCCTCCTGCGCGGCACCCCGCCCTGCAGGTCCCGGGCCATGGCCGAGCGTATAGCCTCTGCGCCCAGGCGCACGCACGCGGCGCGCTCGCCCTACAGGGCGGCCTCGGACTCCACAGAGCGCCAGGGACCGCGCCCCGAGCGGAGCTCATCCACCCGCGGGAAAAGAGGGAGAGGCGGGCAGAGAAATGAGGCGCTAGGTGGTGAGAGCAGGGGCGAAGGGGAAGACCCGCAACAACTGGGTGGTGTTTGCGGAAGGTGCGCTTCCCCAGAACGCTAAGCAGCGCGGATCCCCTTGGCACACACAATCTGCCTGAGGGATTGCTGCTGCCTGCGATCAATAACTTAGCCAAGTGGCTGTTGAAACCGGAGGCGTCCCTCGTCTGGCTCTGTAAGGGGCCGTGCGGACAGAATCTTCCGCTTCCCGAACAAAGAAGTGGGCACCCTGAGGCCGAAGGAGAGTTTTGACCCTACACCTCCACCCTGACCCTGGGTGATCAGGCACCGGCATAGTAAGGTGTCTTTAAAATGAAGGTTTGAAAGGGGAAGTGTAAAAATCCATTCCTTGAATTTCAGGTTTCTATGCTAGTTCAAGACATTGAATAGAATTAGGGTTCTAACAGACATTTAGCAAATTTGTAAGTAAAACCCCATTAAATTTAGCTGTACGTGTGGACGCTTTTGAATGAGCCGCACATTCTCAAGCAGATTACTGAGCAAGCCTTATTTGGACATCCTGATAGAGGATAAGGAAGAAATATGTCATAATATGTAATGGCATTTTTAAAAGCCTTAACATATCTCTAAGACATTATTTCATGAAGATTGCATTTCTGCAAGGTGAAAGGCCCTGGGAAATTTGTATCATGACTCCCACTTAATAAATGGCTGCAAAGCCAAGGGAATTGGCCAGGTGGCGAGGTCCTGGCTAAGAAATCAAGTCTGGATCAACCCACTGTGGGCCGAGCCAGTGCTTTTCCAAAGACAACTAAAAACCTCTTAAATAAAACTGGCCAGGATTACTCATTTCTCTTTAAAGCTGAAGCAAGTTAGTGAGAACAGGCCTTATAGATAACCTCAAAGAAGAGGTTTTATAAAAAGGATTCCACTATGAAGTCCTCCTGCTAATACAAATGGGAAAATGGATGTTGACCATCCTGGTCTGCTAAGTCCCGAGGTTGCTTCTGTTTGTGAACTAGTCTCCATCTGAAGCCAAGGAAAGATTCACTTGCGTCCTCATAGTCATGGTAAGCTAGTTTAAAACAGAGGCTGGAGTACAGGAACATCTGTTTGTGCTCAGTTACAGTTAAAGACTGCTTGGAAGGATAAGGTACTGTTAGGAATAGGATTCATAAATGGTCCTGAATCCATATCATTAATCCCAAAGTGTTTTAAATTGGGCTTTAAGCTACACATACATAGAATGAGCGTTTTCAGCAATTTAAATTACATTGCAAATATTGCCCAATTTGACCAATTTTGGTGGCTTGAGAAGGGAAAGATTTGCCTTTTCCACCTTGTAATTCTTATCAGATTTGAAATTAAAGGCACAAAAATAAAATTGAGTACAGGGTCCTTCGATATGAGATCAAAGATGTGGTTGAACTTTTCCTTGAAATAGCAAATACTTTACATATCCCAGATTCTCAATCACAAACGGGCCACATGCTGTATATTCTGTTTGGACTAAAGCTGCGCTTAGAGAATTTTTGTAATTTAGATATATGGCACTATTTATTTTGAATGATTGTCAGTATTACCATAATCACTTTAATTCTTTCAATTCAATACATACTGGTGCGGTGGTTTGAAATCAATATTAATGTTATTTTGGATGACAATTTTAGAAATAAATCTACTTACATGTACTTGAATGTCAGCTTTGAAAAAAATATAACCATCTACTTTTTCTGTACTTAACACATTTTAAGGTGCCAAAGAGTTGTAAACTGTGAAGTAACTCCTATGAAGAGATGAAGTAAAGAATGGAAAACAAATGATGGTAGCAGCAGAGAAGGGTATGTGGTGAGTGCTTACATTTATTTTATCAACTACCAAGAAGATATCATAAAGGTAAAAATGCCAAATCTTTTGTCTTTAGGTATTTTAAAGCTTAGATGTATAGAACCGTGATAAGCAGTTAAATCACCATTGTGTACTTTACATTACAAGCAGTGTCAGGCCATTCTGCCTAATGCTTCTGTCACTTTTCCGGGCCTACCATTTTAGGTATCTCTTACAATTAATTCATTTGCCCAAAAGTCATGCAACTACAAAAAGATTTAAATCTGCTTAATGCTCTAGAATTTGTATCTTACTCTGTTTTTAGATTATTTTTTTTCCTCTGAACTTTCATGTTCAATTATGTTTGTGTTGAAAGTGTTCTGGCTGAAGTATAAATACTATACAGTTGAATAATCTTTAGGGGTAGATTAATCTATAGCCTTTCTTCATCGCAGGGTGAGTTGCTGTGGCAACCGCCCCAGCTCACTTTAAAATAATTTTTTAAAGCTCACTTCAAGAGCTACACCCAGCGTGGGCCAGGCTTAAAAGCAGGCAGACCCAGTGCACAGGGCTTTGGTAGACTGCTGCTTTAATGTAGGGAAGTAGCCAAGGGAGCAGGGCAGAGTGAGATGCTATGCAACAGAATAGAAATTGGAATATTAGCTTTCCCTAGAGCTGAAATCCCAAGGATCATGTCCTCTGTAACTTCTTTGGACTTTAATTAAATAGATTGCTAAACATAATTCTTTTGGGGAAAAATAAAGTAATGTATATTTACATTAAGGATAATGCACTTAGATAATTACTTAATGAAAGAAATATTTTGTGAGTACACACCCACCCCCCACACATACACATACACACACAGAGCTGGTTTAATAATACATCAATGCCAGACACCATTTTTTAAAAGGGAAAGTCATCTTTTCTTTAACTGGATAGACTTCTAGCTTTCAATTGGTTGAAAAGGTATAATCATTTACTATTTTCTAAGCAAAGAACTGGGATAGACTTTAGAGCTCATTTAACACTTAAGCAAACAGCAGTCTGGGAAGAACACATCCAGTAGTAAGACACAAATCTTGAACCAGCTTAGAGAGAGAGGTCTCCTAACACTTCTGAGACAAGTTCCTCTCTACACGAGAAAACATTCTGATCATAGCCAAGAACAGTTAGGTAGCAAGGATCTGAGTGATTTGGGTAAAAACAAATAAAACCCAGAGGTATTTAAAGAAGAATACAAGGCACAGTCTGGGTTCACTATTTTGTGGATTACCCATGAAAAACTTTAAATCTAGGTGACTTGTCTATTGTATACTTCTACTTAACCTCTTCTGTTCCGCTTCAACTGTAAAAGCTTATGGGAAGGAAACTAATGCTAATATTAACTTAGGTCACACATAATCAAGAAGCTAAATCTGCAAAGGGGAAAATTTGTATTTTAAAAGGCCAACTGTGATACGTTCCAGATCCAAATTATTTTCAAATTATCCACAGTGTGGGGCTGTGCATACTTGGGAATGCTTTCACTATCACTGATAGATAATAATGGGGATGTTGTAATGTTTAGTATTAAATAATTCTCTAAAATAAGTAAAGGTAAAATAAAAAGAGTTTCTTTTCAAGGGGATATAAATCTAAAAGTAAAGTGTACTCTGGTAAATAGAAATTTCCTCTATTACCCATCAAAAAGTAGTATGATTGAAATTTGTGTACTGGCTATGTGTGGTCATGTAAAAGAGTCTGTTACAACTCATTTGCTAAGCTCAAACATTATGGCATTAATCTCAGATGATCCTAAAATTGTTTGCTTTGTCATGACCTTTGTGAACCTTGAAAAACCTTAGATGTATTTCATTTTTAACATCTCATACAGACATAATGTAGTGTCCAAAAGTCTATGCACCTTTAAGTTTTGAGATTGTTTTTTAAGACATTTTGAGCAAAAATATGATATAGTTGTTCTCTGCCATATATTATTAAAATGAACTCCTGCTTGTAGCAGACCTGCCATATGAAAAACAAACACAATATATTAGGTCAATACAATTTATTAGACAGTCATCTGCAAAAAATAATCCTATTTCAGGTGGTTTTTGCCTTGTGACGGTTTGCCAGGGATTGTTCCTAGCTGTGCTGATAGCCAGAGTGGTAATAAGCCAGAAGCTTAAAGAGTGTTTAGATCTAGTTGGAGCTGCCTGCAAAATAAACCTTCTCTTTTCAAGTGAAGCCTTGGCAGGGTGCGTGTAATTTGCGCCCCCTCTTCTGAGAGCAGCTAACATCACATAGACCCCAGGATGAAGCGGGAGGCTTTTTGAACCACATTATCCTCATGCTTCAGAACAGCGCCTGGAAGCCTACTGAAGAACTAAACAGGAAATGCAACTAGTCACCGGGTTAAACACACAGCGCTGAAAGGAATTGTTTTTTTTAAAGAGGAAATATCTTTAATTAGCTAGATACTTCAGTATACTATTATTGTCTGCTCCTGTACATTCAATGTTTTTGTGTCCCCTATAAATTTTTCCTCCTTCCTTTCACAATAGGAATAAAACTTCATCTGGCGTAAACCCTTTACATAATCTACAATTCTACTGGTATGCAATCTTTCTTTTGTTAATGAGCAGTATACCGCTTGATATTTTTCCTCTTTGGCTTTCTGGGGTGTGTGGTAATTGGCCAGAGCAGGGAGGTGCCCAGCCTCTTAGCAACTTTTCCTCAATATTGAATATTAACCTATATTCTTGGTAAGGAAAAGAGTTCACTGTGCTTAAGCCCTAACCTCAGTATCCGTCCTTATCAGTCGCTATTTCTGCTTCCTGTGCCGCTGAAACTCTTCAGGATAAGCGCAGTCATCAGCTATCAGCTCGGGTCGCCTAATGCGTTTGGGAAGTTGGCTTGGTTTACATGTGAAGGACCTGGGTAAAGTCCAGTAAGGTGTGGGAGAGATAGAGTGGGAGGGAGGGGAGGGTGGATCTCCGAGGAAGCTGCCGCCTCGGTAAATATTTCCAAACTGATTAGGAAGTTCGCGGCCCCGCGATGGAGTCGAGATTTCACCTACTGGTGATTCTGTGAGTGTTCGTGCAGGACGAACCCCCGGGGCACCTTTGGGCTCCGGCTGCGCCTCCCGGCCGAGTACGGCGCGTTCGGGGCGTGCGGGGACAGCGCGGACCCGAGCCGCAGGCGGCCGCGCCGGGGCTTCTCCGCGTGAGTAGCGGGAGCGCACGGACCGCGGGGAGCGAAGCGGCGAGCGCGCATCCAGGGGCGGGAGTCGCGGGAGCAACTATTGGGGTCGCGCTCCGATTGGTCAGAGGACAGATCCCGACTTGGGAAGGACTTTCCGCCGCGGCTCGCACGTCCCCGGGGAGCCAGGCGGGTCCTCTCCGAGCGTCCCCGGCGGCGGGCGGGGAGAGGAGCCGGGGGCCGCCGGGAGCCGTGTTGTCTTCATTTCGTGCAATAAAGAATTGTCATTAGGTTTGCGTATGGCATGTGCCATTACCCCACCGTAAAACTAAAATTAGCAAAATGTCAGGAATGGCAAGATTGATTCACCAAGATGCAATTATCATTTAAAAGTGCTTGATTGAGGTACTGATGTTCAGTGATTTATTCTGCATACCATATACATAATTAAAGTAGTGTAGTGGAGTAATTTATCAATCTAGTTGAGACTGGAGGGGTGAGGGGGGAGCTGCTGTATGTTTGTTTTATTAAAATGCTCCGAGGTCTGGTCCCGCCCCCCTTTTGCAAGAGTGAAACTGATGATTTCTCCAGCTCCGAGAGGGAGAGTCAAAGGTTTGGGATCGTGGGGGAGCGAGCCGGGAGGAGAAGGCGGCGCGGGGCGGGGGCGAGCGCGGAAGACAATCCCGCTGGGGCGCAGAGGCCCGGCGCGGAGGGCGCGCGGCTGCAGCCCAGCCCGG